GGGATTTTGGGCATGCACACACATACACCCAGTGTGAGTTTTAAGCCACTGAGTCCAGGACTTGAACCATGATCGACTATATGGGAGTCCAGCAATGTAACCATTTTCCCATCTGCTGGTTCCTCTCTCTTCCCTATTAATCTACATTCTGTTTCTATGAATGTGCTCATTCCTGACATTTTATATAAACAGAATCATACACTGCGTAGTTTCTTTCATATACAAAATGGTTTTATGGTTCAACCATGTTGTAGCATAGTCATTGACCTCATTCCTGTTTAGAGCTGAATAATATGCCATTGTGTGGATACACCACATTATGATTGATCAGCTGAACATTTGATTTGTTTCTACTTTTTGACTCCTATGGATAATATTGCTATAAACATTCATGTACTTTTTTTTTTTAAGAGAGTTTTTTTTTTTTTGCCATAGGGCACGTGTGCTCATGGGAGAGACAGAGACAGAAAGTGAGAAATCACCCCGGGGGTATGGTCAGGCCACAATCCCTTTTTCTTCTATTCTCCTCTCAGGATTTTAGGCATGCATGCACATGCGCCCGAAACTCACACACGTGAGTTTTAAGCCTCTGGGTCCAGGACTAAAACTGCAGTTGACTACATGGGAGCCCAGCAACGTAACCATGGTTCTGCTGGTCCCTCATGTACACATTTTTGAGTAGACATATATTTTCAGTTTTCTTGGACGTTTACCTTGGAGTTGAGATGTTAAATCATTATAGATAGTTTTTATAACTTGAATTTTTCACTCATGCTTTCCCATATTATTAGAAACATTTCATCAGAGAAAAATCTCATCATTTATTGTATCATTTTCCTATTGTTGGATTTGATTTGGAGTGTAGTTATTATTATTATGAATAATGCTGCAAGGGTGCCCTTGTACATAAATGTTGATTGACACATTTTATTATCTCTTTAAGATAAAATTTTATATATTGACTTACTGCATTGAAAAAAATAAAATAGTATCCTTTTTTCTAAGAGAGATTTTGGCTATATGGCACGTGTGCTTGCCAGAGAGACAGAGAGAGACAGAAAGCAAGAAATCGCCCCCTAGGAGAATGGCCACACTGCAATCCCTTCTCCTTCATTCTCCTCTTGGGTTTTTGGGCATGCATGCACAAGCGCCTGGTGTGAGTTTTAAGCCACTGGGTCTGGGACCCAAACCGCAGTCGACTACGTGGGAGTCCAGTGATGCAACCATTGTGCCATCTGCTGATCCTATAAAATAGTATCTTTTTAATTTTTACTTTTTAAAGTATGATATATTCTAAAAAAAAAGTATGACATATTCTTACATAAAAATTTCAAATAAGACTCTTCATAAATTAAACCCTGTTCATCCTCCCTCTCCATAATCTCCTTCCATAGAAATATCTGCTTTTAATTATTTCTTGTGATCATTCCATATGTTTCCTATCTCTATTCAATACTTGAAGGGCTGATTTGGAGTTGCTCCAAAAGTATATTCATTTATTCAATAGTTGTACTGTCTAATATCACAGGTACAAGTCAGAATTGGCTATTGAGTACTTGAAATGTGGATAGTGTAAAATACACCAACAAGGTTTGAAGACAGTATAAAAATATATAAAATTTTTAAAAAGAATATAAGCTATCTCATTAACATTTTATATCATTCCTGTGATTAAAGAATTTTTGGATATATTGAGCTAAATAAAATTTATTATGAAATGAATTACATGTATTTCATTTTTTATGTTTAAATATTTATACTAGAAATTTTTAAATGAGTATGTGGTTTGCATCTGTTTCTATTGGACAGTGCTTTTCGATAGCTTGCTTTTAAAAAAATGTTCTGTGAGGACATTTTTTTTTCCATTTTCACCCATAGCTGTCAATTTTATTCCTTTTATTTTTT